CTATGATTGCTGCCAAATTACACATCTAGCACAGGGCCTGGATGGTGATAGGCGCTCAGTCAATATTGATGGAATAAGTAACTGCTTACACTCACTGGGGCTCAGGGCGTGAATTCTGGCTGGGTAGGGTTTGGAGGCCAAAAAAATGGGCAGATGGGATGACTGAAACAGTGCTGTAGTCCAGCCTGGGCCACAAATCATGGCTATTAGAGGTCACTGAGTGTGTGCATGGGTACGTGTTTTCAAATCTTCTTTTAATAAGGAAGTGGAGACCATTTGCAATCTTTTTGTTTGTTTGTTTGCTTGAGATGGAATCTTGCTCTGTTGCCCAGGCTGGAGTGCAGTGGCGTGATCTTGGTTCACTGCAACCTCTGCCTCCCAGGTTCAAGCAATTCTCTTACCTCAGCCACCCAAGCAGCTGGGATTACAAGCACCGACCACCATGCTAATTTTTGTAGTTTTAGAGACAGGGTTTTACCATGTTGGCCAGGCTGGTCTTGAACTCCTGGCCTCAGGTGATCCACCCTCCTCAGCCTCCCAAAGTGCTGGGATTACAGGCATGAGCCACCCTGCCTGGCCTCTTTTGCAGTCTTGATTGATGTGTGTGAAATCCATCTCCTGGAGCTCTCAGGGGAAACACTTCCTGTGTGCAGATCCCTATTTCATGAAGTTGCAGGGACATAGAATATGTAATTTGTTTGGGGCATTGCTATTAGCAGAGTGGGAAAAGTGTAAGCTAATAAATTAATATAGTCTCCTTCCTCAGACCCTGGAGCCAGCTCTCCTTCCTCAGACCCTGGAGCCAGCTCTCCTTCCTCAGACCCTGGAGCCAGCCTGTTTGGGTTTCTTCCCAATCTCTGCAACCCAAAGGGAAGGATCTTCCTCTTTTGTTTTGCCCCATATGATCCACAGGAAGAATCTTCCTTTTTAACAAACCTTTTCTTGACAAATACCACCCATAATGCAGAAGGTGCATGCATCCTGTGTTCAACTTGATGAAGTTTAATAGAGTACAGGTACCTGTATTTTCATAAACCAACTTCCAGATCCAGAAACAGAATCCCTTCCAGCACCCCAGTGCCCCTTCTCCCCTTTCTAGTCCCTACTTAGTCTCCCCACCCAGGGAAACCACAATCCCAACTTAAAAATAACATCATTTAGTTTCCCCAGTTTTTGCTCTTCCTATAAACAAAATCATGCACTCTGATTTTGTGTCTGGAATCCTTGGCTCCACGCTGTCTCTGTAACCCAAAGGGAAGGATATTTCCCAAAGGAAAGATCTTTCCCAAAGGAAGGATGCATTTCTTGCACATATTTTGGCTTATTCATAGTCTTAGTCATATCATATTTTATTTTCTGAATATATCACAATTTACTTATCTGTTCCACTGTTGATGGTAGTTTCCAGATTTGCGTCCCATCCACCTATCTCCCCAGCATGAGGCTTATCTAACTTACCTCCCCAGTATGTGGCTTAAACACCTGGAACATTTGCTTGGAACATGAAGGAAGGAAGGCAGGTTCTTTATAAATTCAAATCCAGCCCGTCTGGTTGCCCACACTGTGCTGAGTGTCCTCACTGGCTGCTCTAGTCTCCCGCCCAATGGCCAGACTTCAAGGAGTGCAGGGTGAGAGAACCCTTTCCCTTGTCCGCTCCAATAGCCAATGCGTGAAATCCCACCCTGGGAGGGCCCTTCTTTTCCCATTGTTAAAATATAACCCTCCCTCCACCTGCAAGGTATGTTCTCCAAAGCTAGCCTTCTGTGTCACTTGTCCCCCAAAGAGAAGAAAAGAACAAGACTTCCTGACAACCGTTCTGGGCCAGGAATGCAGCAGCACTTGATGTTTGGGGGAAGCGGTTTTTCATTCAAGAGGGGAGGAAGAGGAATGTGCCCCAAAGCAAGGTGGGGACTTTGACTACAAACTCTGGGGCTCAGCATTCTGCCTGTCTCTGGCTCACTTTTTCAGGCACTGTGATTGACCCAGGAGATTAGGTTTGAGACCTTTAACTCAACCTGCTCCCAAATGCCTCTTTATTTTCTGTCTCACTAAGGAAGAACTAAGATTGCAATGGAAAACTATGGCATGCTGCTTTCTTAAGAGTTTTATTTTTAACTTATTTGAAAGGGCTTTTCACATTTAATTAGATAAGGATTTTTATAATATAGTACCCTTGGATGAACATAAAAAGAAAAATATAAGCAAAATAAAATTAGTTAATACATTCTGAGTTTCTTAACATTGACCTGATTTTTCTGATTGACTTTTGACTTACAAATTGTAATTGCCTGTGGTCTCTCCACTCCTCTGGAAATGTCATCCTGAGTGCCATGAAGAGCCTTTGTAATATGGTAATTCTGTTCTTTAATTTTATCTTTAACCGACAAATAATGACTGCATCTATTTATGGGGTATAATGTGACGTTTTGATATGTGTTTACATTGTAGAATGATAATCAACATATCTGTCACCTCACATACTTATCAATTTTTGTGATAAGGATATTTAAAACCCAATCTTTAAGCACTTTTGAAATACACAGTGCTATGATTAATTATAGTCATCATGCTGTGCAATAGATCACTAAAGCTTTGACCCTCTGTCTGGTTGAACATTGAACATTTGGTCAACATCTCTCCTTTCTTCATCTACCCCCATTCCTGAACCTCTGATAACCACCATCCTACTCACTCCTTCTATGAGTTTGCCTTTTATCATCCATGCATGAACTAAAGCATTGGCCCTGGGTTCTGAAGCTGGTTTTGCCGCCTGCTTCTGATTCCTGCTTTGGGGAGGGCTCTTGAAGGCATGTTTTCCCTTCTCACCCCACCCGGACCAATTAAGAGATGCTTCAGGATTTCCATGCATATGGTGCATACCACTCTGCAAGGTTTGATGCTGGTGCTTTTGATATTCACACATGTAACAGGCAAGGGCAACTGTATAACATGACTGCTTTCTAGAGGAAGTGGTTGTAAGGAAGCTTCGATACTAAGATGCATCCCAACTTCAGAACTGCTAAGATACAGAAAAAAGTCTAAGTTAGAATCGATGCAAAATCACAGCCCCATTCCTGCCTGCTGGTCAGCTTCACCATCCCCCAGAATCATGGCCTCCCAGCAGGCTGCAGCCTTGTCATGACTTGTAACCTGTGTCTGAAAACTCGATTTATCTTCATCTTTCTGGAAAGACTGTATGTAAACTGATTACATTGCTCTACTCCCCACTTCGTTCCAAACTAAACCAAGTAACACAACTCAGTGGCTTTTCTGGAGCAAAAACAGAGAGAGTGATATTAGTGTTCAGACCCAGGAGTGCTGTGGGTATGTTCATTATCTAGGCATGAAATGGCTCAGCATCAAAGCAGCCCTGGAGAGCGTCAATGTCCAGGCTCTCTTCTGCTTCCACTCCTGATCTCCGTCACACTTACCTCTTTGCAGGGTGTGCTGTCGGTCTGGACTGGCAAGAACTGAGCCTGGGAGAGGAGACAAAGCAAAGGCTTAATTTTCTGCTCTGTTTTCCCCAGTTTGCCCGAGGATCATCTTTAGCGCTGGCAGATGGGAGGCTTTGTTCTCATTGCTCCTCCATTAAAGTGCTGCCCCTGAGATCCCTAGAAAGAGTTTGTTTTATTTGTTTTTTGGCCAGAGGTGCATTCAGAAAAAGGCCCAAGCAACTCTGCAGAGGAACTTTATTCTTTATTTTTAGTGGCTCAGGAGCCTGGAGATGCAATATTAATCTTTTTTCCACTTCAGAGCTTGCTGAGGAAGGGTTTGGGGGCTTGAAAGGGGATGCGTTACTTTTCTTTTGGTTCATCCCGATCACAGCCACACACTCTGTGAGGGGACTCTGTCTGTTCTATATGAGGTTTTGAATAGATTACTTTTCTCAGCCAGCTTCCTGAGGAGAGACTCACTTTCACTGAGAAGATGCCCTGAGCTTTGTAGAACAAAACAATGCTCCAGGCCCAGTGGAAGAGATGCTGTTCTGCAGAGGCCAGGGAAAGCTTTTCTCGATGTTCTTTCTGGAGAGAGGCAAAGTGGAAGAAAGAAAGGAGAGGGAGGCTGGGGACTGGCAGGAGGCCCCATGTGGGAGCTCAGATCATTAATCTTCGTTCTCCCACACCCCTGCCATGGTCCCAAACATGGGGGCAGGGGGTGAGGTGTTTTACTCTGCCTTTTGACTTTAGCTTTGGCTGTGTGACTTGTTTTGGTCAGTGGGATGTTAGCAGATATCACAGGTAGCGGCTTGAAAGGCTCTTGGGTGGGATTTTGTTCTGTTGCACTCCTGACTTTTACCATAGCAAGAACATGCCGTGGGTATTTGCAGGACTAAGGGTAAGAAGAAACACATGGCAGAACAGATGTAGACCCAACATACAGGTTGTGCCAAGTCCATCCAAGTCCGGACTATTAGCCAAACCCAGCCAACGCACAGATGTGTGATCGGAGAATATTCTTATTGTTGTGTAACACTGTGCTTTGAGATGATTTGTTATGCAGCACATTGTGGCAATGCCTGACCAATACAGAGCTCTTTCTTTACCCTCTCAAATCATTAATAAAGTCAATAAATTCACGAAATGCTTGTGATAAATCATGTTTTAAAAATGGGAACCAGAGAGGGATTATGTGTGAATTGTAAGGTCGTATTGAAGGAGAGGGAAGTGTTTGGAAGAGAGTTCCAGATGGAGAGAGGCTGTAGAGACAGCTTCGGAGCCTCATAAGGCCATGGAAATTGGCACTGGGTCAAGTTTTACTGGCTCTCTGAGAGACATAGACCATCCAGCAGATAGCCAGCTTAAATAAGAGAGGATACAAGACAGACACCAAGAATACAGGTCCATTAGTCAAAGTTTCCCAGAGAAACAAAACCAATAGGATTTGTGTGTGTGTGTGTGTGTGTGTGTGTGTGTGTGTATATTTTACATATATATTTTTATTTATGTTTTAAAAGAATTAGCTCACGTGATTATGGAGGTTGACAAGTCCAAATTCTGCAGGGTGGACTGGCAAACTGGAGACCCAGGGAAGAGTCATTGCTGCAGTTTGAGCCTGAAGGTGGTCTGCCATGGAGCCAGAAGAGCCAATGCTGTAGAACAGATCGGAAGGTCTTCTCATGGCTGATTCCTTCTTGCTCAAAAGAGGTCAGTATTTTGTTCTATTCAAGCCTTCAACTGATTGGACAAGGCTCACATTATGCAGGATGATGCTTTAGTTAAAGTTCACAATTTAAATGCTCATCTCATTCAAAACTACCCTCACAGAAACATCAAAATAATGTGTGAGCACGTGTCTAGGCACTGTGACTCAGCCAATTTGACACATGAAATTAACCATCATGGTTGGCTTTAATCTTTCTCTACCTCTACAAAAAGAAACCCATTTGTTCTATATTAGCAAGTGATGAGTTACCAAGGAGAGAGCCAGCATCCAACTCAAATCATATCCCAGAGGAAATGACTCGTGGCTATTGCTGAGAAAATTTTCTGTTGGGCCTGCTGAATTGTCAAAGCATCGCTGCTGCCATTCTTTAAAAAATCTTTTATTGGGTTATAGCATACACAAGCAGAGTGCCACAAGTCCTAATGTGCAGCCTGATGAATTTTCACAAAGTGAACTAGCACTGGGTCAAAAACAGAACATTATGAATACCCCCAAACCCCTCTCATGCTCTCTTCTAGTCTCTACCCTCTTCCTAAGGGCAACCATTACCTGGCCTTCTAAAACCACTGATTAGTTTTGCCTGCTGTGTCCATTATGGCAGGTGTATTTTCCAAAGACAGCTGCACTAGTATATACCATCCTTCCTTTCTTGAGAATGTGCTGCTGACATTCTTCCAACTCTGCTTCCTTCCTTCAAGTATGGGTGGACCTGGGACTATGGCAGAAGTAACAGCATGTGACTTCTGGGCCTTAGTTATAAAAGGAACGACTCCCTGATCCTTTTGGGATGATCACCCTTGGAATCCAGCCATATGCGAGGCCAAGTTGATGTGTTCCAACCACAGATCCAGTTGAGGTTTCAGCTGATAGCCAGCATTGGCTCCTCCTTGGGAGGAGAAGCTTTCAGATGATTCCATCCCCCTGAATTCCCATCTTCCCACATACCTCAGAATGCAGCAGAGATGAGCTGTCCTCTACCAAGCCTTGCCCAGCTGCAGACTTATAAAAAATGTTGCTGTTGTTTAAAGTCACCAATTGTTCAGCTCATTTGTTGCACAGCAAGAGATAACTAGAATATACTTTATACAAATGGTGTCATGTAGTAGGTATACTGTATTTACAGTCCACGTTATGTCTGTGGGAGTCTCCATGTTGTGGCATGTAGTCATAGACCGTTTATTCTTATTGCTTTATAGTATGTGAATAAAATAGGAATAAAATACAATTTATATATTAACGGTGCTACTGACAGACATCATTTATTTCTATTAATAAAAGTCAAACATTCTAGTACATGTCTTCTGGTAAATGTCAGTACATGTTTCTGTTGGGCATGTACCTAGAATTGAAATTGCTCTGCCTTAGAATCTGTCTGTGGTCCACTTGAGTAGTTGTTGCCAAAGTGTTTGCCAATATTCTTTTTGAGCAAAATGTCGAAAGCCATGTCATAGGCCTGCTTGTGGAATGATGCTCTGAAGTTTGATCCTGTGAGGGAGGAAGGTCAGATCAGAGGTGCTCTAGTCATCTCTAGAAAAGACGCTAGGTCAGCACTTGGTTTTATTCACTCTGTAACCCCAGAGCCAAGTAGACTTGCAAAGAATACGAACTTTAACAGCAATGCGTAGACTGGGAGCCTCCTGGTGTTACACGACTGTAGAGTAGCCTTTCTTAGATTCCTCTCTCTGACTTCCCTTTAACAAATTTGTGAAAACATACAAAGTCAAATTTTGGCCTTGTCTTTGGAAACAATCGTTGCCACAGTCCAGGGAAGTTTCCAGTATATGCCCCATGATTAAGAACATTCATGAACCACACACCACACACCACAGGCCTTACCGTCTAAATCAGATTAGTCTGGAAAGACCCTGATGAAGTCAAAGGACAAGCCTAAATGGCCCTTTTATATGCCTCGGTTTGTATTTTAAATGGAAATTAAACCCAATGGCCATAGAACCTGCCATGCAGCACTGAAGAGATGACGTGACGAACCATGACTGGAATCATGGCAAAGACAGCTGTAGCTCTGTTGCTGCCCATCCAACAGCAATTACGAAGAAGCCATTGATAATGGCCTTGATTTCAGACTGATGAAACTGAAAAAAATGTGCTTGTCAGAATGGCTGCAACACAGCATTTGAATATCACGCCCAGCACAGTCTCTCTCCTTTTGCCTATGTATTTGGATTGTACATGCCGAACTGTACATCTATCAGCTCAGATAATTAAAGATAACTTAAATGTGATTCCTGATTCTGTTAATGGTTTGAAATAAGTATTATAGCTTCTCCGTGGCCCTATGTCTGAATTGGTCAAATGTTCAGGGCGGACACATCCCGAAAGGAAACTTTTCTTGTACCTGTGACTGTGGTGTTGAGGAACATTTGGAGTGCTCCTGGTAGGAACTGTTCCCTTGGAAATGAGACCTTAGATCTCATCCTTAGGATGAACACTGTCTGGGAAGCTACTGAGTGGTCCACGATGTGGACAAAGGAGAGAGTGGGACAGGGAAGTGAGAGGCAGAAAGGCTGAGAAGAGAGAAGTGATGAGACAGCAGCAGCCTGGAGGGCAGGAAGACCTGGAAGCGGGGAAAAGCTACAGCTGAGAGAGATTGATCAAGTTCTCAGTGGGCCTCTGTGGGATGCTCCCATGTACTATGGCTATAGAGCACAAAATAATGCACTTGAAGGGTTCTTGTGAGCTTCTTCTATAAAACGGGATGATGTTGATGATGGTGATGGTGGTGATCTACATCTACCTCCTTGTGTTACTATGGAGATTTATGGAGATGATACATATGAGTCTTTACCTCAGCACCCAGACGGTAAGTGCTTAAGAAATGGAGTGAATGTTAAAATTCTACACAGGTGGTAATCTAGATTGTGACTTCTGGGAAGGGTGGTGGCAGCAGTGATGGGGATGGTCCTGTTTCATGATGGTCCCAATAGCAGTGTCCACCATGACTGCTACCACTGTCCAGTGCTGGTCAGCAGCTGCGGCACTGTGCTGTCTACTACTTGCTCTCTCCCTATCCATTCCTCACCCTCCCTTGTTCTGATTGGTGTCCTGAGAGTCTGAGCTTTATAGAACATGTCACAGGGCTTCTTAGCTTCAGGTTTCCTTTGGGGTTTGGCCATTGGGTAGCATCAGAGGACAGGAGAAAAAAGGTTTTCACTCCTTTCTGTTAGCCTGGGGCCAAGTTTATGGAATTGGCTGTGTTTTTCCATGACTGTAGCTCCTGTCTGGTCCCTGTCCACCACCCCCAGTTGACCCCTCAAGGCTCTTGCACTCACAGGGTTCCAGCTCAGACCTAGGTATGTTAATGATTTCTGAGAATTAAAATAAAATCCTAATCCCTGCAACTGACTGAATGGACTCCCTCTTGGCAAAGGGGACCCCAGAGACACTTAAAAACTGAGTTCCTGGCCATGACAGAATGGGGTCATACACGTCTTATTACCCCCTTCCTTTTGCAGTTTAGACCGAACAACTACCAGCATTAATGTTAAAATGGAGATCCTACCACTGACAGTACAGGCTCTCTGTGGCAATAAGATACCAAAAGACGACCTAAGGCTGTGCCAGGCAAAGGTTAAGTCATCCAAGTAAAGAACTACACTAAAAGAGTCAACTGTGTTCTAACTGCCGCAAGGGTTTTCTTTCTCTCTATCAGCTAAACAAGTACTGGTCTTGAGATAAGCAATATGGAAACAGTTACAGCTCACCCACCACCAGATGCTGTTCCACAACTGTTCCACAAGTCATAACTATAGCTTTGATTGGACAAGAGGCTGACTTCTGTAACTTTCTCCTGATTAAAGACCATTGACCGTGGACTGGCCCTGGCTGGTTTTACGGAAGCTGCACATTCAATTGCCTTGCTATCCCTGCTTCACCTTTTGACCTATATAGGGCCTAATTGTAGTACATTTAATGTTAAGTCTCCACCTCAAGGTGAACACGGGTCATATGTAACATACGTGTTTATTCAGTATGCATGTGTTAAGATTCCCCCCTCATGAATACTCATGATCATCCTATAACCTGTTGAATATTTATACTTGGCCAACCCATTCAGTAGAAATTCCAGTCTTACCCTTCCTCCTTCAAACTGCCTGCTAAATATCTTTGTGGGAGGCTTCCCAGCCTGTCAGGATGGCCACCTCCTAGGCTGTAACCCTTTATAAGGCAGGAGAATCACTTGAACCCAGGAGTTCAAGGCTCCAGTGATCTATGATCATACTGCTGCACTCCAGCTTGGGCGACAGAGCAGAATCTCATCTCAAAAGAAGAAGAAAAGAAAGAGACAGAAAGAGAGAAAGAAAGAGAAAAAAGGAAAGAAGGAAAGAAGGAGGGAAGGAAATAAAGAAGGAAAGAAAGAATGGAAGGAAGGAAGGATCTTTTCCAAATTTTGAGGTCTTGTGATTAACCATTCCTAGTGTTTGGGTGCATCCACATCCCCTCTTTTTGATTTTTTGATCCTTTCCATTTTATTATTATTATTATTATTATTATTGAGACAGGGTCTCACCTTGTTGCCCAGGCCAGAGTGCAGAGGTGTGATCTCTGCTTAATGCAGCTTTGATCTCCTAGACCCAAGTGATCCTCCCACCTAGGCCTCCCAAGTAGCTGGGACTTCAGGTGCCTGCCACCAGACCTGGCTAATTTTGTTTATTTTTGTAGCGATGAGGTCTCACTATGCTGCCCAGGCTAGTTTGAACACCTAGGTTCAAGTGATCCTCCTACTTCAGCCTCCCAAAGTTCTGAGACTTACAGGTGTGAGCCACTGTGCTTGACAATCCTGTCCATTTTAATACATTTCTTTCTAAAACTACCCAAGGTCAGTTTCTGTTTTTGCTGAGCCCCTAGAACCCACCTCTGCCAAGACTTGGGTTTTGCGATGTTGCTGCTTGTTAAGTTGTTGGTGTAGAGAGTGACGTGTCATGATGAAGGAATTTCTTGAATTTTGGAGGGGATAGACCTT